AGACGCTGTTCCAAGTCCTCCATACAGAGCACATGACCATAGTCTCTCGAGACTGAAGGACGCCTAATCTGAATCAGGGTAAAGGCATAACATGGTGGCTTTTAAGGTAAATTGAAGTTAGATATAAGGATGGGGCAAAACAACTAGTACTTAATGAATTAATGAATATATACTAGTTATAATGTTGATACAGACATGATAGAAAATGTGGAGATAGAAATGGCTAAACAATTATAAAAAGAAAATTTGTATAAAAGTAGCCAATATTGTATACTAAAACACACACATGAACGGTTTAAATGTTTTTAAAAAGCATAGATTTTGAAGAGACAACTGAGAAGACACCAAGATGCAAAGAACAAATGATTGTAAGCAATCCATGTAGCATGATGTTTAACAAACACAATTAAATGTAGGTAAATTGAAAAATTAATGTTTTTTTTAAGAAGTTACTTTCTTGGACTATAAATCTCAGAATCAACCTACTTATACAGGCATCCTCCAACTCTGTTAGCCCCTATTTGTGGTCTGAAAGGATATAGGCCGGAAGACTGCTACCTTTCCTAGGCTTAAGTGAGCATTTGCTGCTATGCCTGCCATTCGCAAGCCACTTACTGCACACTACAGCCCTACACAACCTCATGCCTGGTTTCTGGCCTGTTTTGCTAAGGACTGAAGGCAGTGCTTCTATTCTCAGATTTCGCTTTTCTCTTCGTTTTCTTATAAGGATCACACAACGCATTTGAAGCACACTTTGAAACGACTAAGCAGAAACAGCTTTTAATAATTAAATACACCAACACCATCCCTTTCCCCCCACCCCACCCCAGAACACACATACGTACACTCACATACTAAATCCAAGGCACTAGTTCCCACCAAGCTCAGTAGAGGGGAGCAAGTTTGAGAATTTCTAAGCCAAGCTAGTTTGGAATTGATGGGGAGCCTGGGAAAAGGTTAAAGGAAAGGCCATGGAAGCAAACCAATCCGTGGCTCCTTCTGTCCCCATCTCTCCTGGAACTGGAGGCTCCTAAGGCCCAGCTGCTGTGCGACCCATGTGCTTTCAACAGGGTGTTCGGTACTAGCTCGGGGACTGAATGGCAGAGGCAAAGAACTCCCCTTATGAAAGGGGATAAAAGTAGAGGGAAGCTTGGTAGGTGCAATGCTAGCTTGAAGGACATTTTGTCTTTCCACAGTGGTTGGTGTTGTGTGTGTGTTTGTGTGTGTGTGTGTGCATGCGCATCTGTGTGGCATTTTCCTTTTGCTGCTGTGTAATACCATACCAATGAGGTGACTCTGTCTTCTAAGCTGGCAGAAGAAGAATGATAGGGCCTACCCCAGAGCCATCATGCTTCTTTGGATCCTTGACTGATAGGAGAATATACGGCCAACTTCTTTGTAACCTGTCGCAGCCTGACATGAGACGACACTGTGAGCGGAAGCACCCATATCTCAGCTACACACCAACGCCTGTATGGTGCAGGGGATTCTAATGGCTGCTAGCTGACACGACTTTTTTGAAAGAAAGAAAAAGAGAAAGAGAGCAGAAGGAAGGAAGGAGAAGATGGGAGAGGAAAGAAAGAGAAAATAGAAGAGGAAGGAAGGAAGGAAGGAAGGAGAAGATGAGAGAGGAAGGAAGGAAGGAAGGAGAAGATGAGAGAGGAAGGAAGGAAGGAAGGAGAAGATGAGAGAGGAAGGAAGGAAGGAAGGAGAAGATGAGAGAGGAAGGAAGGAAGGAAGGAGAAGATGAGAGAGGAAGGAAGGAAGGAAGGAGAAGATGAGAGAGGAAGGAAGGAAGGAAGGAGAAGATGAGAGAGGAAGGAAGGAAGGAAGGAGAAGATGAGAGAGGAAGGAAGGAAGGAAGGAGAAGATGAGAGAGGAAGGAAGGAAGGAAGGAGAAGATGAGAGAGGAAGGAAGGAAGGAAGGAGAAGATGAGAGAGGAAGGAAGGAAGGAAGGAGAAGATGAGAGAGGAAGGAAGGAAGGAAGGAGAAGATGAGAGAGGAAGGAAGGAAGGAAGGAGAAGATGAGAGAGGAAGGAAGGAAGGAAGGAGAAGATGAGAGAGGAAGGAAGGAAGGAAGGAGAAGATGAGAGAGGAAGGAAGGAAGGAAGGAAGGAAGATGAAGGAAGGAAGGAAGGAATAAAGGAAGGAAGGAAGGAAGGGTTAGTTTAAGGAAGCTAGATCTACCAATGGCAATTAACTAAATAGTGCCTCCATGATCAGTGGCAACATACATCTAAATAACTGATTGCAGAAAAGAGCAGCTAGATGCCTTTGTGCTCAGCTTGTAAGCTTCCTGGAAGTTAACAGGAAAGCTGGCTTGCTGGAAATCGTATGCAGAACTGGATGGGTTTGCTCAGATGCACCGGGGCTCTTTGGATTGTACAGCCCACCAGTCTTTCTTATAAGGGCAACTGCTGTGCTAAGCATCTATAGCTGTGGCCCCACCAAATGGTTCACTTAGCCCCAGTGCTCATGGCGCTCCTCTTTCAGGTGGTTCCCAAGACCAATTCCATCAGAAATGGTAAAGACTGAGCCACATCTGTGGCTGATTTTTTTTTTAAATAAGTGGAATGGACATGCTGAGACGTCAGGGGCGCAGACCACCCGGGTGGATCTGGGAGAGCCTTTTTTTCCGGGGCAGCTGAAGACAGGAAACAAAAGCAGAAGGAGTGGAGCTGGAGGTTCCTCTCGGGGCCGTGGAGGGAGGAGGGATGTGGTTAGCAAAAACGAACGACACTGTGCTTTCGCCCCCTCTTGGTCTCATGAAGTGGGCTTGGCAGGGAATGCTGGGTGAGCTTCCTTTCCTTCCAGGTGTCAAAGGTGAAGGAACCTGCACTGAGCCAAGCTGAGAAGGTGAGACCATGGGCTGCTTCCGAGGGAGTGGGCTGCCAGGGTTCAGCTTTGCTCCTGCGGGCTAGATTGTGCAGGGGGCCCTTGTATTTTATGTATGTACAGAACCTCTGCCAAAGGCCAGCCTCCCTTCCGCTCTTTACCACACTTCGCAGGGCTTCCCAGGGTTCATGGCGGAGCCGACGGGACAGTTAAAATGCTCTAAAAAGTCCTGAGAGTTGCTGAGGGTGCCGATGACGCGGAACTTGTCAGGGCTGTGGGGGTCCGTCACCAGGCCCTCGTGCGAGCTCTCGGGGGTGCGCACCGAACACCAAACCTGTGTCATGAAGGAGAAAGTAAAAGATGTTTAGTACTTGCTAAAGGGGACGTGGTGGGAGAGGGGACGTGGTGGCGCTGTGGGCTAAACCGCAGAAGCCTGTGCTGCAGGGTCAGAAGACCAAGCAGTCGTAAGATCGAATCCACGCGACGGAGTGAGCTCCCATCGCTTGTCCCAGCTCCTGCCAACCTAGCGGTTCGAAAGCATGCAAATGCGAGTAGATAAATAGGGACCACCTCGGTGGGAAGGTAACAGCGTTCCGTGTCTAAGTCGCACTGGCCATGTGACCACGGAAGATTGTCTTTGGACAAAACGCTGGCTCTTTGGCTTGGAAACGGGGATGAGCACCGCCCCCTAGAGTTGAACACGACTGGACAAAAATGGTCAAGGGGAACCTTTACCTTTACCTTACTTGCTCTGCAGAAGAGACAGGATGGGTGAAGCAATGAATTTTTGTCTTTGGAAGGGAGGCAGAATCCCAGTCAGTCAGTCACACACGTTCACCACCCAGTCAGAGAGTTGCTACAGTGATGGACTGGAACACGGGAGATCCAGGCTGTGGTCTCCACCGACTCATGGAGCTCATTACCTGGGATCCCTATGTGCACACTGCACAACTGTGATGATGCCATGGCTAGGAGAGTTGCTACAGTGATGGACTGGAACACAGGAGATCCAGGCTGTGGCCTCCACCAACTCATGGAACTCATTAGCTGGGACCCCTTTGTGCACGCTGCACAACTGTGATGATGCCATGGCTAGGTTTTTTTGGGGGGGGGGGATTAAAAATTTCCTATTCCTCCTCTCTAGGTTCTGGGGATCTCTAATGATCCCTTTTGTCCTGGGCGGGCTTTTGGGAGTTGCAGAACAGGGGACAAACATGAGGGATTTGGATTATTAAAGAGTTCCTTCTCAATCTTGTTGCTCTCCAAGGCTTCCGCAGATCCTCAGGGATCCTCAGGGCATGAGCTGGGGTGTGTGGCCATGGTTGATTCCTTCCTCACAGTTGCATGTGGTAAATCTTGTGCACACTATGGTGTGCCCTTGATCCAGCTTCTCTCTCTCTCTCACTCACTCACTCACTCACTCACTCACAGACACACACACGCACACACACACAGATTCTCTCTCTCTCTCTCACTCACTCAATCACTCACTCACAGACACACACACTCATTCTTCACAGTCTACCTCACAGGGAAATTGTTAGAGGAATAGACTGGGGAAGAAAGGAGCCATATATGCCACACTGCTCAGTGAAGGATGGTATAAATGGAACTAAGGAATGAATGATCTATAATCACCCTTGGTCACCCAACAATGTGTAACCATCAAGTAAAATGCAGGCTTTGGTTTCAGGTCCAGAACTTAGCACCGTGGGGGGTGGGGACAGGGACTCTTCCTGTCTTTGAAAGCAAAATTCTAGGAAGAAACGCCATGAGAGGATACTGAGAATGGCCTGGCTGCAGACCCACAATCTCCCAGCAGGGCTTTTGCATTATACGTGGTTCCAAGTACCATCAGAAGAGGAAGCAAGTCTGAACTACAGTCAAGAAATTAGGTCCTACCACCATTCAGTCCTGATAGAACCCATTTCTTGGTAAACCTGCTCCAATTCACTCTGCAGATCATATACTGTAAGATATAGCACATTGGGCATCCATAACTGACTCTTGTCATCCTCGTGGAAAATTTGTAACCCACAGATGATGAGCCCTACAGATGTAGAAATGGGTCCTGCCTAGAAGGGGTAAATAAAAACTGGGAAATGCTGGGCAACCTCTGTCAAAGTCATAAAATATGCTGCATCGTTAACTGCTTGCCTGTTGGCCTGTGATTAGGAGAAGCTGCTTTCAGCTGGCCGGATATATCCCTATATTTGGAAGGCAGTGTCTCCATAGCGTGTGATTCCAGCTTTGAGTTTGATTTGCATCTGGCAGGAAATCACCACTTGAGATTCATCCGAAGAAGAACAAGGCAGGTGCAATACTGACTTTCAAAGGAGCTGGGCTGGGCTCTAGAGAGAGGCACTGTGGGTCAGGGTACCTCTCCGGATCTTCCCCTCCATCCCAGTTTCCTCTGTAGGAACACCGGGTGCAAAAAAGAAAAGAGAAAGAAAGAAAGAAAGAAAGAAAGAAAGAAAGAAAGAAAGAAAGCAAGAAAGAAAGAAAGAAAGAAAGAAAGAAAGA